CTGTCCGCACACCGCCCCCCGGAGCCGCTCGGGCTCGGTATTTGTGCGAGGATCCAAATCTGACCCGGAGGAGCGGGTTCGCTGCTGCCATAGCAACCCCACCCGCGCGTACTTGACCCCGCCCACTTCCGTATACGGCTGTCCCTCGACAGTCAGCCCTGTCTCCTCTCCAGGCCAATCAGAATTGGCCTATCCAGTGAGTCCCGCCCTCCAGACTTAGCTCCGCCCTGTCCCCGCCCCTCAGATCCCGCCCCGCCTGCTTTATGATCAGCCCCGCCCCTCCAGTTCGTCCAATCAGCGCTGGTCTTTCTGCGGCCTCCCCATAAGCTCCGCCCCCTCAGCGGCGCAGCCAATAATCCCCAGCCCTGACGCCGCCGCTCCAATCAGCTACGTCCCCCTCCCGCTCGGCCAATCGGCGCCCGGTCCGCGGCGCCCCGCCCCCCCGCCAGCAGTTTCCTGGCGGCGGCGGCAGTGGCTGGCCAGAGGGCGATGAGGCGGGGGGGACGGGGCAGGCCCCGCCTCCTTTGTCCGCACCGAGGGGCTGCTGGCTGGTGGCTTCGAGGACCGCTTCCGGCGCCATCTGCTGGTCTTGGGCGCTGTGTCCCCTGGCTCACTCGGTGCCTTGCTGGGGACTTTGCTGGGGACCTTGCTGGCAGGCTGCATGGGGATGATAGTGCCACTCGGAGACTGGACCAGGGGTGGCACCTGGCTGGTGGGGGCACTGGAACGGTGCGTGGACCCTGAGGACTGATGGGCCATCTGTGAGGGGCCGGAGGAAGTGCTGGGGGGCGGAGTACGCTGCTGGGGCTGGCTGGAGGAGTTGCCTCGTGACCGAGGCTGGCCCCTGGCCTTGCTGGGCAGCTGGGAGCCACTGGCAGAGCCGGAGGGCAGCTGGCCCCGGGACCCGGAGCTGGGGGTGCCTGAGGAGCGAGACTGGGAGTTGGCTGAAGTGGCATTTAAGGGGACCCCGGAGGCTTGTCTGGACCCGAGGGGCGGGAGGGGAACTCTGTCCAGCAATCCGTCGAGGACTCTTTGGAGGTGCCTGACGTGGCCCCCTTCTTGCCAGCCAGGAGATCCTCGCCAGGGGCAGCGGGCTGCTTCAATTGTCCGTCTGTGGCGGGGTCAGGCCGGACTGAGCTGCAGAGAGAGGGTCAGGTGACATGAGGTGGCTGGGCCCCTGGGGCTCTGCTAAGCTGCTGGAGAGCGGGAGGGAGGCTGGAGCAGAGGAACTTGGCCACCGAAGCGCTCGGGGCGCTCGAAGCCAGGACCGGTGTCGACAGGCGCTATCTTGCCGGGGGTGAGCCGTCCGCGGGGCGCTCGCCCCACTTCGCCGACGGGCACACTGAGGCTGGGACCTGCCCCCTCCGGCATGCCCTGGCGGTGGGTCTGCTCCGGGTGGAGGGCGCGCCCCACTGCCCAGCGGGGACACCGAGAGCCCGGGGTGGGGTCGTGGACCAGGATCCCCGGTTGCTCACAGCCCTGCTCCTGTCCCCTCAGCGTGAGCTTGGGCAGGGCCACCCCCTCTCGGCCCCTGCAGCACCCCCACTGCAGCCCGGGTCCCGCCGTCTCTGGGCGCCCGCCAGACCCAAGTCCGGTTCTTCCCGTTGCCCAGAGGCCCCGGGGCTGGGGGAGGAGGGGGCGGCACGGCTGCCAGTGTCCTGCGTGTCTGGCCGTGGACTGCAGCCTGGCGGCAAGAGTCGAGCTCATCCTAGTTTTCCTCGGAGGCCAGGAGGGCAACCGACCCGCCTGGGAGGATGCACAGGACCCTCCCATGTCCCCCCGCAGGGGACCCTCTTCTTGGCCTGCCCTGTCCCCTGCCCCGGCTCAGTAGCTTTGTGTCACTGTGCCTAAGGATTTGTGGGGTTGAAGTGCGTTGTTTGGCAGCTGTGATGGGGGAGGGGGGTTGGACTCTGTCCACGGAGCGGGGGATCCAGGCACCCCTGTTCCTCTCCGCCTTGGGTGGCCCTGGACCTTCCTGAAACTCAGTCTAGCAGCACATGGTAAGCGCTCCCCGTAAATGCCTCCCCCTGCCCTTTTAAAGGTGCTCTAAGGCCCACTGGCTCTGCCGCCTCTTCCAGGAAGCCCACCAGGAACGAATCACATGACACTTTGTCTGGACTCTGGGGGAGCTCTGGGTGGAGGGCAGTGCCACGTGTTTTGAGCACCTTCGGTGTGCAGATTCTGGGAGTCCATTTCCTCTCATTTTCCTGCCACTTGGGGGATCCAGGCAGCCCAGGGAGCTTCTGAAATCTGAGCCCAGATCCCGGAGCCCTCCCCGCCCCCTCTCCCCGTGTCCAGTCCCGTGTGCAGCTCTGCCGGGCAGCTCGCCCCGGCTGTGCCTGACCGTGGGAGCAGGCTGCTGACCTCTGCACTGGCTTTCCACATCCCTGGTATCAGTGGGCAGGGAATTTAGGTCACAGAGCACCAGGGAGGGAGGGGTCAGGGAGGGGTCAGGGAGGGGCCAGCTGGGGGCTTGATGTCTCCGGGGAGGAAACTGAGGCACAGGGAGGCAGGGGGCGTGTGGGAGGCTGCCTTTCCCACCTGCCCTGCCTGGGATTTCCATGCCCTACACACACACACACACACACACACACACACACCCCTCATCCCATCTGTTGCTCATCTCCAGGGCTGTGGCCCCCCTAGTCCTGATGTGCAAGGTCATCCTCCCCTTGCTGAGGCTGCAGGAAAAGGGATTCTGGAGAGGGATACCTGGGAGAGCCCCTCCTCCCCCTCTAGTGGGTCCCAGAAAGGGGTGTCTTCCCCGCCCCGTCGCTCAGATGTGAGAACCCTTGGACCCCACCTATGCCAAATCGCCAGATCCCACGCCCCCAGGTAACAGATGAG